AGCTGGGTGGATCCAGACATAATTGTCAGGATCCGCTTCACCTGCGGCGTCTCAGTATACCGCAAGCAGTAGCTCAAGCAGTTCACTATATATTCATCAGTCTTTTCACTTGGTTCCACTCTCTGCTTGTTCCTATGCTCTGTGTATGATCCTGGCTCTGTCTACTGATCTCCAGGTTCCAGACTCCGGCTTTGTGCTCGTTCATCCTGATCTCTGTGTTCCCAGACCTGGCTCAGCTGACTACCCTCCTTGGCTTCTGACCTCTGGCTCGGCTCTCACTACATCTTGGATTTACCTACTGTTTTGCTATTTTATTTCTAGTCGCTTTCAATAAACGCCTTTATTTTGTAACCTGTACTTTTAGCTTCCATCTGGTTTCTTGGTTCCCTGACAAACATGTAGCTTTTAGCATTATCAAACATATTTTGCTAACCCCACTCAGAGTAAATCTCTAGTAGGATCATATCCACCGTGTGCACTTTTCTGAGCCTGACAATTCCCCTAAATCCTCGATAAAATGAGAAAGTGTCACTTCTCTTTAATCCTTTTAACAAAGTCGTTCTTGCATATTTTGGTGCACAATAAAAAGCATATTTTAGGCCTGAAGATTATATAAAACCCATCAAAATTAAATATTTTCTGTAAGCAGAGACCCTGTATCTTTTCATCATACCATTATTCATCTCATCTCAAGATTAGTACTGAAAATATCTTGTTGCATACAGTGTGTAGTGTTAAACAATTATCTGCTCTGTGTGTCAAATACTCCAGGTCACTTTTACTCAATCAGGGTGCCGAGGCACCCTAGGGCCCCTTCTGCCTATCTCCAATATTTGCACAGCGTCGTGCCTTTCCATGGTGCTGGCAAGAGGACTCCTGTTGTAAAGGGAAACTTATGTGACTGCAGTATTCTGATGTGAAAGGGGGGGGGGGGCTCTGATGGAGGATTCCGATTTTAATGGGTTTCCCCCTTTAAATCCATACCAGACCACTATTTGGAATAAGGGTCGGGTATGGATTTTTAACAGTTAAGACTAAGATGCTTGAAAAAAAAAAAAAAAAGGTTAAAAAACGCTGCTCTGGGTAAACCGGGGGTGATAATTTATCAGAACTGGAGCGGACACAACCTGAAGCAATTGCCCATCGCAACCAATCAGCTTCTCTCTTCAGATTGTTCAGTTAAGCTTTGAGAATGAATGAGAGAAAATAATTGGTTATCATGGGCAACTCCTCCAGATTCTTGTGTTCCAGTTTTGATAATTTCCCCTCTGTGCTCCTTGTTCTCTTATGTAAAATGTTGTAATTTCACTGATCATGCTAATATACCATGAGCTGTGGGAATCATTTTTAGCAGGGCTTCCCTTAAATCAGTTAATTATTTAGCAGCTCTGAGTCTGCTGGGGCTGCTGGCATCACATCCTAGATGGCGGCACCCACAAGCAGCCTCAGGGATTTTGAATGTCTATATAAAATAGGCTTTTACAGATAAATAACATATATAAAACATGTTACACACATACAAAAAAACAAACAACAACTGCCTTTAAATACATATTAAAGCTGAACTCTGGAATAAGTAAATAATGTCTAAATACAAGAGCTATGTGTATTCTTATTGGAATCTTGCTGTAATTCATGTATCTTTTCCAGATGTATGCAGTAATCCAGCGTGATACTTTGCCTCTGTGTAGGAGCTTCCTGTAATAAGGACCAGTCAGCTCTCTCTCCTTGTACAGGGTCACTGGTCTTGTATCTGTCCCCTCTTGTAGTTTTCTGCAGGCAACCTATAGCGGGTGGGGTCTGTTGGGTTCCTCCCACAGCTCTGTACCCCCCCCTGTTTCAGTGCAGGGTATGTAGGTAGAAAATACAACCATGCCACACCCCCAGTTATGCGAATTATTAAAAATGAATATGCAAAAATGAATGGTTAAATGCACAAACACTTTTTCTTCCATTATATCACCTTTATTTGGGTTTTTCAAAATAACAAATGCAATAATTTAGAGTTTGGCAAAAACATTTTTAGTAGTTAAAGTGACACTAAACTCTTAAATCTCAAAAATACATTCAAGTACCATAAATATTAACAAAAATGTGTCTTATTTGTGTATCACTCAGCTGTAGATCCTCAAATCATCTCTGAATTGGTGCTGACACTGTCCTTCCTTCTGGAGGGTGGCTACTTTTATTCCCCATGGTCCCTCTGTGTGTTGTAAAGTAGGCACCACTTCAAGCTCGCTCCCGTGATGGACTACAATCTCAATACAAATTAGTAAACTAAACATGAGATCAGTGGTGTAACTATAGCCATAGCAGCCCGGGCCTGGAGGTGGAAGGGGGCCCCATTAGGTTGTTGAGGCACATGTAATACAGAACAAGTGAAAATAATACAGTACTTCGCAGTGCTTGCTTTCCTTTTCATTTACACTTACATTCATTTAATGCATTATTATATAAGTGGCAGGGCATTGCAATGTACTAATACCAGTTGCAACGTGGTTTTGTCCGCTGTACTACAGCAATGTCTAAATTTTTCCTCAACACACACCAACCCAATGATCTGGTGTGAACTGGGCACATAGACAGTGATAGTATCTGCTGTGCCCTTGCGTTCATCAACTCAGATCTAGGCACGAGGCGTGCTGGAATGCTTATTGGCTCCTGTCTAAAGTGGTCCTAGTATGTGTGTGCAGTGGCGTAACAACTGCGGTGGGGGGGGGGGGGGGCGAAAAAAATGTTCTGCCCCGGGCGCCCATAACTCTAGTTACACCACTGTGTGTGTGCAATAGAGACCTTAGATTGTGAGCTCCTTGAGGGCAGGGACTGATGTGAATGTACATCTATGTAGAGTGCCCTATTATCTATTGTTTTACTTAAAATGGTCCATTTTCTCAGTTTAAACATTTGATATGTTTTCTGTTTTCCATTGGGAATAAAATCTGGGTTTATGAGATTTGCAGATCATTGCATTCTGTTGTTATGTAGACTTTACACAGCGTCCCAACTTTTTTGGAATTGGGGTTGTATATATCTGTAATAAATGAAAACAGATAAATAGGTGTGAATGAGCCCTAAGAGCTCATTGATGGCCGGTTCTATGAAATCCTTCCCTCTGATGTGGCTCAGAAACACTTTTTTCAAACAGGACATTTTTCTTATTACATTCACAGCAGCAGGCGAGCGCTATGCTGTGTTGTGCACCCGCTGGTGTGCTTTGTGTAGGGATGGTGTGATGAGTTGTTACACAGCATTGCACTATTGACCTTTTTTTTAACTTTATTAAAATGTCACAAAATGACATTTCATTCATCGCGATGTGCTGCAGTCAACTGCATCACAACGCACTGCGCAAAAATGTAGCATGTCCTACTTTTTTACTTTGTGTACCCCAAGCTGAACTCTAGGTATCAATTGTTTTGTGCACTTACATTGGTCCGGCTCGGCCCAATATAAGTATGCATATGTGATAGCTGATCGGTTGCTGGGGATCCTGTGAAGCACTTAGGCCTTGTTCACACCAAATGCAGAGCAGATCCGGTCAGGTTTCTGCACACGCACGCTAGTCTTTTAAATGCGTTTTTGGCTAAAAAATGTTTTGTTCTTGTTTTTTTTTAGTTTAACATGAGCTTTCAGTGCGTTCCAGGCATTTGCATGCGTTTTTGATGCATTTGCAGATCCAGAGCAGGTAAAATAGGGCCTGCTGCAGTTTTTTTTACCTGCTCTGGATCTGCACTGGAGCTAAAAATACCATTGGAATACATTGGACGCAGTTTTGATCCGGTCTGCACCTGCTCCGCGCTTGGTGTGAACTAGCCCTTAGCCAGAGCTAATACAGGGGGAATGCCTCACCCAGCAGTATGGTATGGTGACCCCTAGCTACCATCTTCTGGGTCTTGTATCAGTGCTTAGCTGAGCGCCTTCTCCTCTGTTCTGAATACACGGTGGGGGGTGGGTCACTCCACATTGCAGCCATTTAAAGCATGGCTAGCATTTTTCATTAATGGATACATTGAAAACAAGGCGTTCCCTGATTGGGCAAGGGATGGTAATGTCATGATCTACCCCTTGTCCAATCAGAGAACACCTTGTATTCATTGATGACAATACTAGGTGTTCTTTGGATGGCGCTGTGCTGAGTGAGTGCCCCCCCATGTTTTCACAGGAGAAGGGACACAGCTCAGCTCAGTGCCATACAAGTCCCCAAAGATTGTGCTCAACACTAATAGCTCTACAGCAGGGATAGGCAACTCCAGCTGTTGTGGAACTACAAGTCCCATGAGGCATTGCAAGACAGGCATGACTCCCAGAGGCATGCTGGGATTTGTAGTTAAAGCACTGATTGAGGGACAGAGTTGCCCACCCCTGCTCTACAGGATGCCTGTGGGCCGATCGGTTCTAAAATATGCACACCTACTTCGGGCCAAGCTGGACCAATGTAAGTATACATAAACAATTGTACCTGAAGTTCTGCTTTAATAGGCCATGAAGCAAACTCTTGTTAATCTATGTGTCGGGTGAATATGGTGTGGATATAATATGAATGGGCTCTTATAATGTAGAGATGCCATACAGTGCATACGGGGACGGTACCCCCGGCCGTTTGTATGCCCACTGCTGGGACTGAGAGCGGAGCACAGGGGACAGCTGTGATGGAAAGGGGTCACAGTCCTCGGTGGGGAGGGAGAGGAAGGAGCGGCGGTCTGGCAGGATCCGGCTGGAGGCAGGAATGGATGGAGGTGAGGGGGAGGAGACCTGCGCAGGGAAACCCCGGCCTCGCTCACTGGAATTCCAGGCGCTGCTTGACCACGGAGATCTCGCGAGGCTTGGCCGCCTCGGCCACCGCTGCTGCTCCTTTCCTCGCGAGAACTTCGAGTCGCCATTGGTAGTGACGTCACTGTGTATTGTTGTGAGGGGGAACGGGAGCATCCCAGAGCTGTCAGCTGAGTAGTGTCGCTGCCTCCTGAGCCTGTGCCGCTGCGGCCCTTCTGCTCTGCTCGCCACGCTGAGCCATTGTCTGCTGTGCCCGTGGATCCCCCACGTCACAAGAACCATCAATGAGATGCCAACATGAAAGACAAGAGGAAGAAGAAGGACCGCACCTGGGCCGAGGCTGCCCGCCTGGTATGTGCCTTCCCTTCCTCCCTCCCAGCAGCCTGCTGTACAGCCGGATAAGGGCTTTGTTGTTATAGGGGGTCTGTGGGTGTACGGGCACTGCCTGGAGCCTTCCCCCTTTCCATACTACTATCATCAAGACCGCCTCCCATTCATTACCACCAGATACATAATGACACTCACAGGCTTCATCTGAGATCAGTGTACTACAGTACTCCAATCATACATCACACCCATCATCTATCACCAGTGTACTACAGTACTCCAATCATACATAACACCCATCATCTATCACCAGTGTACTACAGTACTCCAATGATACATAACACCCATCATCTATTACCAGTGTACTACAGTACTCCAATCATACATAATACCCATCATCTATCACCAGTGTACTACAGTACTCCAATCATACATAACACCCATCATCTATCACCAGTGTATATTCAATACTTTCATACATGACACCCATCCTCTGTGACTGGTGTACAATGTGTACTACCATACATATATTAATTCTTCTATAGGTATATAATGACACTCTCTACGTTATCTGTGAACAGTGTAGAAACAGTACTATCATATATAACATACATCTATGACCAGTATACAGCCAGTACTCCATTCATACATTCGTCTTTCTGTAGGTACATCATGACACTCGCATACATCATCTATGACAAGTATACAGCCGGTACTCCATTCATACATTCAGCTTTCTGTAGGTACATCATGACACTCACATACATCATCTATGACAAGTATACAGCCGGTACTCCATTCATACATTCAGCTTTCTGTAGGTACATCATGACACTCACATACATCATCTATGGCCAGTATACAGCCGGTACTCCATTCATACATTCGTCTTTCTGTAGGTACATCATGGCACTCACATACATCATCTATGACAAGTATACAGCCGGTACTCCATTCATACATTCAGCTTTTTGTAGGTACATCATGGCACTCACATACATTATCTATGGCCAGTATACAGCCGGTACTCCATTCATACATTCAGCTTTTTGTAGGTACATCATGGCACTCACATACATTATCTATGACCAGTATACAGCCGGTACTTCCTTCATACATTCAGCTTTCTGTAGGTACATCATGGCACTCACATAGATCATCTATGACCAGTATACAGCCGGTACTCCATTCATACATTCGGCTTTCTGTAGGTACATCATGACACTCACATACATCATCTATGACATGTATACAGCTGGTACTCCATTCATACATTCGGCTTTCTGTAGGTACATCATGACACTCACATACATCATCTATGACCAGTATACACCCGGTACTTCATTCATACATTCGGCTTTCTGTAGGTACATCATGACACTCACATACATCATCTATGACATGTATACAGCTGGTACTCCATTCATACATTCGGCTTTCTGTAGGTATATAATGACATATGTGATACTGGGTTTGTTTCACTCCTGGAGATGTCAAGCTCTTGTGTATAACCCTTTTTAGGCGGGTTTGTCAACCCTGCCTGTAACCAGTTTAACAGTACAACAAAAAGAAATGTGCGAACTGTCTTACAGATGAAGGCAGCTCAAGGGTTAATCATCGGCTGGGACAAACCACAATGTCAGGATTTTAAGAAATGTATCTATTTATTACTAATCAAAAGACATGAAAAAAACATTACTGAACACACGGCTGACAGTTTCCTGTCAAAGAGTTAAAAAACGATGTCTAGTCTGACTGACTTTGATCGGTGGTGAGGTGGATAGATGTACCCTTGATTGGCCGTACATGTATCTCCTAGATTCCTAAGGTCTAGGGGTTGTTTTTGATACTGGAATGTATCCTAGTTGACCCTGGGATTATGTACGTGCTCTGATGTGCTTAGTTTTCTTGATCACTAATACACCATTTCTCAGGACCTTTTGCATTGGGGGACCATTCATATATGACAGTGAATTGTAGTTTAAGCTTTTTTGCTAGTTCGTGTTTTGGAGCCGAACAGCAGATCTACTCACATGACCCCTCGGTCAGTCCTTCGATTTCCCATTCACGGATTTCCACCACGTGGGGCTGTTTACGGCTTGTTGATCACTGTGTATCCTTTTGATTCCCCCTTCGTTGGTGTGCATCCTCTTTTTTTGACTTAATCCTCTTGTAAATTTTGATCCAAAGGTATTAGGGCTGTACAGCCGACAGTCTCTGGGTCATCCACCTAATCTCTGAAAGCAGCGTCTACGCGTTTCGCCCCTCCCCCGATGCAAAAGGTCCTGAGAAATGATGTATTAGTGATCAAAAAAAACTAAGCACATCAGAGCACGTACTTAATCCCAGGGTCAACTAGGATACATTCCAGTATCAAAAACAACCCCTAGACCTTAGGAATCTAGGAGATACATGTACGGACATCTATCCACCTCACCACCGATCAAAGTCAGTCAGACTAGACATCGTTTTTTAACTCTTTGACAGGAAACTGTCAGCCGTGTGTTCAGTAATGTTTTTTTCATGTCTTTTGATTAGTAATAAATAGATAAATTTCTTAAAATCCTGACATTGTGGTTTGTCCCAGCCGATGATTAACCCTTGAGCTGCCTTCATCTGTAAGACAGTTCGCACATTTCTTTTTGTTGTAGGTATATAATGACACTTTAGTACATCATCTACAGGGCTCGAAAAATCCCCTCGTCCACTCGTCTGTGACGAGTGGACGGTGGAGCCCGACGAGCAGCTTCCTGGCCGGCCGTTGTAATTACACGGCCGGCCGGGAGCTTAACACAGTCAAGCGATTGAGCGTCTCTATAGACGCTCGATCGTTTGTATCACCAGCTGTCACTGCCGTTGCCGGTCCCGAGATCCGCTGTGCCCGATGCGGCCAGGACCGGCACAGCTCTGTGACAGAAGATCAAAGGGAGTTCAGTATACGAACTCCCTTTGATCTCCTCTCAGTCTCCGAATGCAGGAAGTGATCTATATTACATCACTTCCTGCATTCAGTACGGACAAAAAGGAACAAGCGCACTACCAAAGGTACTACAAATTAGGCTTCCAACAGGGCTGTGAAAACAGTGTGCGAGCTCTTGAAAACAGGGAGAGGAACCCTGTGTTAGCAAAAAACGAACAGTGTGTGTGTTAAGAGCGCTACTACTGTTTGGGCACAATTAAACAATCATAAAATGTAACAATACTGTTTCACACTTAGGATGACCAGAATACAAAGTGACTCACTCTTAGGTGTCCTGGGGTGCCTTGGAGATGGTCCGATGGAACCTGACTGGTCCGATGGAAACATCGGACCATCTCCAAGGCACCCCAGGACACCTAAAAGTGAGTCACTTTGTATTCTGGTCATCCTAAGTGTGAAACAGTATTGTTACATTTTATGATTGTTTAATTGTGCCCAAACAGTAGTAGCGCTCTTAACACACACACTGTTCGTTTCCTGCATTCAGTGTCACTCTCCAGCTAGAGAAGCTGATGAAGCCGATCTCTGCTTCATCAGCTTCCCTTGGGGTCCCTAGGTGACTTTAGGGGTCTTGGAGACCTCTGATGTCTCCATTAAGAGGACCTGTCATGTAAATTAGCTATCCCATAGGGGGCTTCTTAGCCCCCCATGTAATAGCAATACAATTGCATGTTAAAAAAAATTTATATAAAAAGGAAAGAATCATAGAAAAATAAAAAAGCATAAAAAAAATGAAAAAAGAAAAAAAAATTTTTAAGTCCCCGCCCCCCACATACACACGTAGATATGCGTCGGGTGCGCCTACGTACGAAAACGACGATTGCGCCTATTGTGCCGCACATGTTACATATCGCCGCAAATGTCAGAGTGAGAGCAATCATTCTAGAGCCATTAATCACTGATAACACTAAATTGATGAGCAGTAAAAGCATTTTAATCGTCGCGTATGGGCGTTTTTTGTGATTTTGCGGGCACACGCAATTTTAAGGCTTGATATGTTTGGTGTCTATTTTCCCAACGTGACCCCGACCTTTTATGTTTTACTAAAAATATGGGTAGGAATAAATGTTTTATAACATAGGGAAACTTTTTTTTTTTTTTTACATTTATGGTACTTTTTTCATTATATAGTTAAAAAAAAAATAACCCCCCGTGGGGTCACAAAAGAAAGCTCTATCTGTCCCCAAAATTTTTTAACATATATTGCAAGCCTATAGTCCGGTCATGCTGACTGGTGAAATTTTTGACTGACTGGTGAGACACCGCCAAATTTTTCAAGCCCTGATCATCTATGACCAGTATACATCAAGAATTCCCTATTCATTGATAGATTTAATCTCAAAGATGTCAGGTGCCTCCAGTGAAGAGTACTGTTAATAGTAAACAGTTTTAAAGCCAGTTTAGGCAATTGTATGCCTCCTACCTTGTGCCAACAGTTTATGGAAGGGCCTTTCCAGTTCCAGCAGAGCTGCGACTCTATGCACAAAGTCAGCTCCATAGAGATATGGAATGACGAGTTTAGTGTGAAGAAACCCAAGTGGCCTGACCTTACTGAAGACCTTTGGGATGAATTAAAATGCCAATTGTGAGCCAGGTCTTCTTGTCCAACATCAGTACCTGACCCCACAAATGCTCCTTTGGCTCAGCAGACACAAATTCCCACAGGCACACTCCTCTTTTCAGAAGACTGTATGCTGGCAAAACGCAAAGTGGGGACTGTTCTGTACTTGTGGTTTTGGAATTGGATAGTCAACAAACTCTTATAGGTGCGACATAGACAAATTAAGGCAGAATGGGGCCCAAGGCAAGGTAGATGCTTTTTGCCCCTCGATATGCTTTTAAGTGACATTAATTAGAATTGCAATAGGCACAGTGAAGTCACCCATTTGCAATGTCAGTACTAGCATAGTCCCACCGGACACCAGCTGCCTACAAGTGCATCCTCCCTTGTGAAGTGAATGGCAGGTAACCAGTTGCACTATAATCCTGGTTTACTGCAGGAGAATGAAGGTTGCAGCTGCCCCCCTCGACGTCCGCTGGGCCT